AATAAAGCAGAAGCAAAAAATATATCACATTAGCAGAGATAATAGCTGCTCAAATAGGAGAGCAAAATGTATCAGAAAATATAGCTGCTCACATTAGCAGAGATAATAGATTTTCAAATNTCAAACAGGAGAGTGAAATGTATCGCATTAGCAAAAAAAATGTAGCTGCTCAAACATCAACAAGTCTATTAGAAGGTCGATGGAATTGCACGTGTTTATGGATTGAACGAGATTCAAGCTGGGAAATGGTTGAATTTGCCAGCAGTGTGAAAGGAATAGTTACCCCAAAAAGAACGAAGTTTATTCTCCACTAATCAAGTAAGTAGATAAACAAAATTAAGCAGAAGCAAGATGTATTAAATTAGCAGAGATTATATAGCTGCTGAAATATCAACTTTACCCTAAAAAGAATAAAGTTCCTTCTCCACTAATCAAGCAAGTAGCTAAAAAAATTTAACAGAAACAAAATGTATCACATTAGCAGAGATAATAGCTGCTCAAATAGGAGAGTGAAACATATCACATTAGCAGAAAATATATAGCTACTCAAACATCGACTTTACTCCAAAAGAACGAAGTTCCTTCTCTACTAATCAAGTAAGTAGCTAAACGAAATTAAGCAGAAGCAAGATGTATTTATTATATTAGCAGAGATAATAGTTGCTCATACAGGAGAAGCAAAATGTATCACATTAACAGAGATAATATAGCTGCTCAACATCACCTTTACCCCAAATGGAATGAAGTTTCTTCTCCACTAACGAAGCAAGTAGCTAAACAAAATTAACATGGACATATCTTGAATACAATTAACTCTAAAGATAGCTAGTACTACAATACTAAATTTCAATTACTTGCACAGTATAGAAATCACACTCAAAACTCCATATTGTCCTTCTAAATGAAATGCCATCATTCCTCTCTTTAAAAAAAATGTGTAGCATATTTTCTTTTCTTTTTTTGATAAGATAAAATTTATTAATAAAGGTACCAAGAAGGTACTCAAATTACAACAAAACAAGACAGACCCTACAGCAATCTCTGGTTACATATTTCCAAGTGAGTCTAAAAATTCCATATACTGATCAATACTCTCTAGAATACTCCTTTTACACCAAAAAAACAGATTTTGCATACAAAGGTTCCTGACTCTAGAGATGTTCAGATTGTTCAGAAGAAGGTTATAGCAGCTTTTAACAGAGAACTTCAATTCATTGTTCGCTTTCCAGATCATAGAATCCTCTTTATCCTCTTCTACCAACAGACATCCAACAGAAAGTATCTATTTGACCTTATTAAACATCCTTTTGACAAAGGTTCAAATCACTAAGCCTGTTGTTATCTCAAACATCAACATAAAATGGAACAATGATACCTGTTCAATATCTCTTGGTTCCTTAAAATTGGTTAGTCCAATATCTTCTATGTGCACCACCTGATAATAATAAAAAATAAATATGTATATACGTTAAAACATGCTCCAATACTCCAGGTAATAGGACAATACAAATTCCGAAGCATAATTTCTACTTACTCACATTCACTTCTCTATTCAAAACTAGAGGAAATTCTCGATCCACATATTAACAATATGGTTCCTCAGAAGGACACATTGAATAACCAATCATGTAATTTCTAGTGATACCAAAAGGGACACATTGAAAATACATGAGTAGAAAATATATGTGCACATCAAAGAAATCGATCAGCAAGAAAATATTCAATATTGAACTTGACGAAATAGACAACATCAATTTAAATCTAAAGCAACAGTCTTTAATGTGTCTCTAGCTATTAATCAAAAAATGGCTAAGCTATTTTCTATTTGAATTAGAAAAAAAACTCATGATGTGCCTTCAAAATCAAACTCTTCATCCGATTCAATTTCAAGTTGTTGTGCTAGAGATCGTTCTGGAGGTACATCAAGAATAGTTGCTGGAACATCACTCCTTACTAAGGTAACTTCACCATTATCCTCCGGTATAGATGGGCCAGCCAAATATTCAGATGGCTCATTTTCATAACACTGTGTCCTCAGAAGGACACATTGAATAACCAATCATATAATTTCTAGTGATACCAAAAGGGATNGGGACACATTGAAAATACATGAGTAGAAAATATATGTGCACATCAAAGAAATCGATCAGCAAGAAAATATTCAATATTGAACTTGACGAAATAGACAACATCAATTTAAATCTAAAGCAATAGTCTTTAATGTGTCTCTAGCTATTAATCAAAAAATGGCTAAGCTATTTTCTATTTGAATTAGAAAAAAAACTCATGATGTGTCTTCAAAATCAAACTCTTCATCCGATTCAATTTCAAGTTGGTGTGCTAGAAATCCTTCTGGAGGTACATCAAGAATGGTTGCTGGAACATCACTCCTTACTAAGGCAACTTCACCATTATCCTCCGGTATAGATGGGCCAGCCAAATATTCAGATGGCTCATTTTCATAACACTGTGGGGCATTAGATTCAAGTTCATCACTTATGCTAAACAAATCTCTCGGGACAGTCTTCATGACATAATATTTATCTTGATCATATGGATCTTGCACATAGAAGCATTGGTGTACTTGAGATGCTAGGACAAAAGGCTCATTCTGATAATATTTCTTATTGAAGTAGACATAAGTAAGGTCATAAATATCTTCTTCAACCTCATACTAGTCGCACTTAAATAAGACAATCATAAAATGGCCATAATAGTCTAACTCAACTATATCAACTATTCTACCATAATAAGTCAAATTTGCGTCAACCGGATTTTTATCTTTTGAGCTTGCAAAACTTGTAGTTTGGGCGACTAATGTAACACCACTATTTTGTGTTTTACGTCTTGCATCACGCTGCCTTGTATGGAATCTATATCCATTAATGAGATACCCAGAATATCTTTTAGCAATTGAATTTGGTTCAAAGGATAATTGCTTTATAAGATCGGGCACATCCTCTTTCAAAGAACGAGTTTCAAACCATTGAGAGAAGTTTTAACTATGCTTCTTCGCCTTGCTCCATTTAGATCCTCGTCTCTGATTACTAACCTCAACCTCATATTCTCTACACAACAAGTATTTTTATTTGTTAGTAAAATGATCAATAAAGTAATTTAATAACAATCTACATAAATAAATGCTATAAGTGATTAAATTACCTTATATATTCTTGAACTTCATCACAATTGTTCAATAAGTATATATGTGCCTGATTTAGTGACATGTCATCTAAAACAATTGGATCACTCTTTTTCGCTCCTAAAGGATAACCTGTATTAGGGAACAAACTAGAAGCTTGTGCATTAATTGAATCATATTCATCATTGTTTCGGGGTCTTCGATTAAATCGAGTTTTTACACCTCCATGTAAGTATCTAGAGCATAAAGTCAAACACTCTTCAACCAAATATGCCTCAGCAATAGATCATTCTGGATAATTTCTATTGCGAACATATGATTTTAATGTACACATATACCTTTCAGGAGGATACATCCATCGATTTTGAACTAGACCTCCCAACCTTACCTCATTTGCCAAATGAATAGGCAAATGAATCATTATATCAAAAAAAGTTGGAGGAAAAATTCTTTCCAATTGATTCGTTGTTTCTCTAATCTCTACTTCCAAGCAATCTAGCTTTTCCATTGTGATAACTTTTTGACATAAACGGCGAAAGAAAGAACTTAGACGAATCAAAGGGATAGCAACATGATCAGGAAGTATGCTTTTAACTGGTATTGGCAACAAGTAATGTAACATGAAGTGGGCATCATGGGTTTTATAACCGGATAATTTTCTTTCATCTAGCTGCACACACCTAGATATGTTGGAAGCACTACCATCAGGTAGCTTTGCGGTCTTTAAAACACCACAGAAAACGGATTTCTCACCACTAGTCATTGAGAAACATGCTTTTGCAAACTTTATTCTCTTGCCATCCTTTGTATCCTTTGGTTGAAGGTTCTTCCTAATGCCCATTTTTTTCAGATCATAACGAGCATTTGCATGATCCTTGTCTTGCCAGGAATGTCCAAAAGAGTTCCAATTACATTATCTACTATATTTTTCTCTATATGAATTACGTCAAGGTTATGACGTAACGAATTGTGCTGCCAATAAGGTAATTCAAAAAAAATTGACTTTTTTTCCAAGGGCCATCATTTGTTCTCTTTCGCTTCTTCCCAAACACATTGTTAAAATTCTATAAGCTATTAAGCACATCAGTTCCCTTTAACAAAGGCGGAGCAGGCCTAAATTCTATTTTTCCATTGAAAGACCTTTTATTAGATCTCCAAGGATGATCCATAGGCAGAAAAACACGATGATCCATATAATACATTTTTCGACTATGTTTAAGATAACGAGAATTAGTGCCATAATTACAACAAGGGCAAGCCAACTTTCCCTTTGTACTCCAACCGGATAACATAGCATATGCAGGAAAGTCACTGATTGTCCATAAAAGAGTTGCTCGCATTTGAAAGGTTTGATCTCTTGAAGCATCATATGTTTCTACCCCGGACTCCTACAAAACATTTAACTCTTCTATTAATGGTTGTAAATAAAAGTCAATGTCATTTCCAGGTGATCGTGGTCCAGGTATAAGCAAAGAAAGCATTCAGTATCTGGCTTCATGCACATCCAAGGAGGCAAATTATACACCATTAAAATAACTGGCCATGTGCTATGAGATATGCTCATGGTCCGAAATGGATTGAACCCATCACTTGCTAAGCCAAGTCTCAAATTGCGAGAATCCTTTGCAAATTCTGAATGCAATCTATCAAAGTCTTTCCATGCTTGCCCATCAGCAGGATGCCTTAACTTTCCATCTTTAGAACGCTCCTCGTCATGCCACCTCAATGTATCTGTTGTCTTTGAGCACATAAATAGCCTTTTCAGTCTAGGAATTAATGGAAAGTATCTCAAAATTTTTGCTGGAACACGATAACCTTTTTTGGAAGCCTCAAGATCGCTATCTACTTCAGGATATTTAATATGATCCACAAACATGACAATATTCATCATCCTTATGATCATTCCTAAATAGCATGCAATCATTGGGACATGCATCAATTTTTTCATAATCAAGACCGAGATCTTTTACCATAGATTTGGCTTTATTGTAGGATATAGGAATGTTCAAGTCAGGCATCGCCTCTTTTAATAGCTCTAAAAGAGAAGTGAAAGACACATTGCTCCATCCATGTAGACACTTCAACAAATACAGACGGATTGTAAAAGATAATCTAGAGAATCCTTTACAACCAGGATATAGTTCTTGGCTTGCCTCGTCAACTAAGTTACAGAATTTATTGGCATCTTCATTTGGGCCTTCATACACTCCTCCAGCATGTGCAACATTTCTAAATTGATCATTCAACAACCCATCAATATCATCGTACGAGTAAACATTATCATCCATGTCACAATTAGCATTCATCGAAATTTCCCATTCCCCATGATTAATCCATCTTATATAACCTTGAACAAACCCATAACATATTAGATGATCATATACTACATTCCTTCGAGTCCAACGAATATTACAACACTTTGCACATGGGCATTGAATTTCTTCGCCTTGAGGATCTCCATAAGAGTAAGCAAAATCTAAGAAAGATTGAACACCCTCGATATACTCTTTGCTATACCTTGGTAAATCCATCCATTCCTTGGATGGAACATTTGAATTCCTAAAAATAAAATTTATTAAATCTTCAAATATATAATCATTTAAGCATTAATTATATGGTAAAACTAAATCCTAAATGTCAAGAATAAATCTGTAAAATCATGTGTTGTACAATGATAGGACTTTCTTACCTAGTCATGACACTTAAGCTAAGCCAAATACAACTTTAAGTCAACCACAAATCTTTCAGAGCGTGACTTATCTTCTTGGATAAAAAAAGTAAAATTAGGATCCACAAAACAAAGACAGAAAGTAATAAATTCTAAACCAAGTTTTTCATGAAGATAATATAATAGTTCCGCGCACCAAAACGTTTCATGTGCACTTTGGCAAGTATAGTGACACCTAAAAGGTGTTTTGTTCGTACAAATATTATATAATTAAAAGAAGTTAAGATATAAAAATCTAACTAGCTATTTCTGATTTCTTCAACTCAAAAGAAGAAACTCCAGAACTAGTCATATTTTAAAATTACTAAAAGGTAACTTTGATAGAACAATTTACCACATTACATTTTGACAGAACAATTAGCAAAGAATAAGCTTCACAACTGATTTTACATTTTTGGTTCAAAATGTCAGATCAAAGAATCTGTTATGCTATTTGTGTAGTATCTAATAATTTGATCACATTTTGTTTCTCTTTTCTTGATGTCATTATTTTTGGTCCACATTGATATCCCGGATTTTCTTGATGCGGAATTATATCTAACCAAGTCAACTAAAAGTGAAAACTTTAGTTGACAATCCAATACCAAATTAGTGTAGTTCACTCAAGGTTGTTAAATTGATACTTTGATCAAAACGGTACAGCTAAAAGTTCTTTTCATATATGTTGGCTGCAAATTTACCAATACTCATTAGAATTACCAGATTGATCCCTTGTTGTAAACTTAAAGGATCATATTCTTATTATGTTTGAAGGAATCATTTGCAACGTTTGATGCATGCCAGCAATATGTATTGGTTATTATCAGTTAAACAATACTGCATATTTGGAAAATCTAAGGTTGTTTTAATACTTTGGAGATAAGCATCACTGCAGGATAATAACAACAATAAATCAAGGAAAAACTGAATTTGAAACTAAAAGCTAACCATCAATTGAATGAAAGAGCCAGTTTAATCTATTGAAGACATGACCGGTCCAATGAACAATCTATTGAACACGTTACACGCTAAGAAACTTCTGTGATGAATTAACATTGGCATTTCAGAGCTCACTCATGCAGTTGTGAGGTAAGAAAGAACCTATGATATTCACTAGTTTAGCTTATTATATTTGAAGCTAGAAGGCTACTGAACTTTCTCAGTATTGGAACCATGCTTTACTGTTCCAGTAACAGTTATCTCAAGTCATGCCATAATACTGGATTGAACAATAATGATGAACAATTCTGGAATGTAAAGGCAAAATATACAAATATAACCTCGGGGACCACTTAATTATTGATGATAAATTATCTGACTTATCACAATAAAGGAAGATATAAATTCTCTGCTAACCTGTGTCGCACTTAACACATTTTAATTTCTCTTCTGTTTAGGAAAAAAAAAAGAAGTTAGCATATCAAGGGCACAAGCAATGTGCTACTCTACAAAACTTTTGTGCTATTCAAAACAAGAGCTTCTCTATCGTACATTGTTTAGATGACATTTAATTTATAGTTGATGTTTCAGGGTCAGTACCTGCGCAAAACTACAGAACTCATCAATGCATTTTGTGAAATGAATCCAGTTTCAGGCCATTTATAAGACTGCTGAGAAGTTGCAGGAACAATATATTCCCAATAGACATTACCACCTTGTCGGCACTAATTTTCTTGTAACAACAATAGTGTCACCTACAACAATAATCCCATAACCAAGAAAGAGAGCCCATAAACTTTAAATGTTGGTAGTCATTATTGTCTAAAATATTTTCGTAAGCTTGTTCTTAAACTTATTGTTTTTCTAATTCTATGGTTTCCCCTGATGTTTACAGATTCTACTTTATTACAAAAGTTGAATCTACTAGGAAGCCAGTTGTTTCTAAATTGGTCGACAAATGATCGGGCACTAACATAGAAACTAGAAGTGCAGCACATCAGTCATATTATACTAACAAACTCAACTGCTGAGTAGCGTTTATGAATCTGCAACAGAGTTTGCAATACTATGTAACACCAGAACAAAAAGATTTCATAAACTTATGATTACAACCCCTACACCTTCCTCCGCTCCTCTCCCCCCCCCCCCCCCCCCTTCCCCTCCCCTCAATATATCACTAAGAAATCTCAAATATTCAAAAGAATGAATGTTGTACCAGAAACTTCTGGTATTCTGAGGCGCGACTGACATGGTAAAAGAACAAATCAGCCTAAGACGTACTGTACGTCAGATTAATCAACAGGAATAGGACAATCAAAAGATAACAAAGCCAATTTGTAGAATTAGGCTCACAAATCTGCTAGGATTTTAAAATAAATTACTAATCTTTGAGACTAGAAGAGGAATAATTAATTTATAGTTCATTTTTTTTCTGGAATAAGTATCAAATTAGATATGAAACTACAGCAATCAGAGACCATAAGATGGTAAAATATTGAAATAGAAGAGCACCAACCTGAGATTGAAAGAATTCCCGTTTCTCTAGTTTTATTTATTTCTTCAATCAGCCGGAACGAGGAAGGTGAGAAGGTGCAAAATAGTACCTAAGAGAAAGGGGAAACGAGAATTCTTCTTTTGAGACAATAGTTTGAAAACAAAAACACTACCCAAAGTAGGGTGGAGATTCGTCAGTACGTAGTATTGAAGCCAAAAACCCTAAACTAATGTATCCATAGAGATTTTAGGGAGGAGAGAGATCTTTTGCCCTTTGAAATTGAAAAAATAATATTTCACCTAGAGTAATATCGTTGGAGGGAACATTACATTTTTTTGGAGGGAATATTATATTTTAGCCAAATATTTTGTTGGACTTTTAGAGCATATTTATAAAGTGTTGCTTTTCAAATTATAATAAGAGCACGCTTAAAAAGGGTGCCACATACTCAAGTAAATGTTGCCAATTATTTTATGATTTAGCAATATTCAATAAGTGTGGCCTAATAAATTAAAGAGCACATTTTACAAGCGTAGCCAAATTTTCTGTATCCAAAAGCTCCATACAAAGGCCACCCCTTAAAAGTGTGCCCAAATATATTTTTGGGCACACTTTTCAGGCGTTGTCTAAAACTAGTGTTGCGTTAGACCATAATTGTTGTAGTGTTAATGCATATTTATCCCTTGCTTTCCTATGGTCTCAAATATTTCAAGTCCTTTCTCAGCATTCCCACAAGTGAAGTAGTTGTTCATTAAAGCCAATTAGTCAAGCTAGAAGTACTACTTATCTATTTTATGATAATCTAAATAGCTAACTTAGCAAAAGGCAAATATTTACGTAAAGGAGATGAATAGGACAATACTATTAAGGGTTATAGCATTGAATCTGACTTCTAAAACCTTTTTGACACAACACTCTATATCTATTTCTGGACATATACAAATAAGAAGGTAGTATAGCAACGAAAAGGCCTCCTGTCACACAAATCTTGTAATTGTGCCACCTCCAATCTTATTTTAAGAGTCATCAAAAGGGTAAAGAGGGTGCTGCCACGTGGGGTAGGGAAATTTTAATCTTTATCCAACTTATTAGTTAATTAGGTAATATCTCATTACCCGATAATTAATCAATTACCCGCATAATTAAGAATTATTTTCACTTACTTGAATTATTACTCACTTTTCACATACCTTATACACCTTACTATTATGGTCATGTGGTACCTTGTATGGTACTAGTTCATAAATACCGAATATTTTAGCTCGAGCCGTATTTTATCCCAACATGCCAAACTTGGACGAAAATTCATTTTCTTTGACTTGCTCCCCATTTCACCTTTACTAACCACTTGTGAAATGGCATAATCCTTATAATATCCAAATAATCTTTTACTTGGACTGATGTCAATTACCTTACGATAAATTTTACGTACAATACTTCAGGGTGCAACATCGTCGTAACTTAATACTACGAAACGTGATATTGACATAATACTGCAAGGTGTAACATCATTCCTCCCTTTTGGAACATTCGTCCTCGAATGTTGACTAATGCTCTTATCATTTTCATAACTTATATCTTCCGAATACTTTAGAACTTTCGTTGCCATCTAGGCGACTGTTCTGTGAATAAGTTCAAAGTCCAATGCATTATCCCCTTAGGCCTCCTTCTCACCCCATAACTTGTAGTTGGAATCCTTCCAATCCCCTAACTATTGTTTCCTTTCATCATGCAGCCTATACAATTTTGACTTTGTAAGTGTGCCCAATCTCTAGGCATCATATGTAGATCTTGGTAAGATTTCCCTTTGGGCATCTATGAGTATACTGAAGTTCTTTGCTCGGTACTTTGTTGAATTCACGAATATTTATCTCATCGCATAGGTCCGTTTAGCCATATGTATGAATTTACTACCATAATTCTTACTTTAATTTATCGTTGCTGAGGTCTGCTACCAAATCCCAACTTACTCTCGTTGCTTATTTCATATGTATAAATTTACGTCCTTTAATGCTCCTCATTACTGCTCATCTTTAGAATGACGGCCTAATCTCATCTCATACTTTGTGACTTTTGTCCATCCATTATTGATTCACCTCAATATTAATCTATAATATACCACTGATAACTTGAAGCTTCTTATGCAATACTTTGCCACTAGGGCTTACGTCATATCAAGGAATATTCGAAGTAATTTTTCTGATTCACTTAGCGACGATATTGTACTTCAATAACCGTATTCTATAGCATCCCAAGGTGATTCTCTTACATGAGTATTTTAATCCCGTACAATTCATGAATCTCTTTTCTCTTTTTTTTAAAATTATTACTCAATCGAAGGCCGAAACGCCATCCTTTATCTATCACAATTACATCCTCATTCTGCCACCAGGGCAGCATCCCATCTCTTCTAAATGCTACTAGTCTTAGACTCGTTTGAGTTCATTCAGGCTAAATTGAGCTTTCTATAACTTAGAGGAACTATCAGCTCCTTTGTTTTTACGGGCTTAGTCCGAGGATTTATCCATTTTTGTCACCTTCTCACTTGCCCTCTTCTTATCCTTACTCCTGTCTTTCTAAAATCTTGTCATTCTATCATACTTTAGCTTGCGACCGACTTCCTTATGCTTTTTTGGAACATTGAGACATCACATTGTCTCTACTCTTCTTTTACTCTTTAATTAGACCTTTCGGTACTTAGAAACCATAGGCTGGAAGGTAAGCCACTGACGATGCTGCTATCATTCTTGAATACTGAATCTCAGCGCTTATAGTCTTTTACCTGAAATATGAACCATTCTCACCCATCTATACTTGAGTATTTCGTACGGTGTTCACTTTTACCTTACTTACCTTAAAATCTCGCATCGTATCTTCTATCTCTCTCATGACCTCCCTTCCACCTAGGTGTAACTTACGTCCATAACTTGAAGCTTTATTATAGTACTTGCACTTCTGGTACATATACAATCCCGTGGGAGCTTTGTACTAACTTCTTATGAGGCTTGTACTTCTTCTAACTGGCTTCCTTGTAGAGCCACTATAGATTATGGTTGTTGTGTTATTTCTCTTGAACATCTGATATTAAGAGTGGTTCTGTCATGTTCTCCACCAAAAGTTCTATAATTTTTCTAGGTCCAATAATCAGACTCCTAATTTACTTAGGTGATATAATTCTTTAGTTTCTTCTTCCTTCTGATCAGCCTATATGCTGGCTCAAGTTATCTTCCAATCTGAGGCTCATGGTATTAGTTATTACTTTAGCCCTTCATGGACGCTATGAAATATCCATGACACAATCTTCTAACAATTCATTCCTTTCTCTATGCCTTGGGCTTAGTTCTTTCTTTTATCTTATATCGGAGTCTTCTATGGCCGTATGATTGTCAACAAATATGATGCCTGGATAATGCTCCAAAATCTTGAGTGTATCCATAACGTACTAACTCTGGATCATTGATCAAATATTTTTTTTGTTCCATCTTAGCTTTCTTTCAACGTAAGCTGTTACTTTTCCTAGTCTTTCTTCCCCCTTGTTGCGTCCATACTTAGCTTATCTTAGTGCCCACACTTGCCAGAGTTTTTATACAACTCATATGATCTCAAATATTACCTTTAACTTTTACTTCCCATTCATTAGCCACGGTAGGTGCCACTTTCCTTTGGAATGCTTACAATGTTGTTGTGAGATTGTTGTTACACGACCATTTCCTCTTTAGGTCATTCTGCTTAGGTTGAATCCTTCTTTCTTATCTCCTCAGCTAGTCTTCCGTTGTAGTACTTAGGGAGAACCCTTGACTCTCGTAAAGTTGTGAGCTTATTACGGACCTTTTTGATGTTCTTACTTGCCTATAATCATCTGTAGTTGCTTACTTCCATGCCCTTGTGCTTGTATGGTTGCTTCTGAACTAATATTTTGACTGCCTTCCCAGTGACACTTTCTTTTATCCCCGTAACACTCATACGGTACCTTTAACTACCCCGACTCTTGTTTGAATATATCTCAAGTATTATAATAATATTCTTCGATGCTAAATTCTCCATGTTGGGTCCTACTATGTTTATCTTACACGATTTGATGACTTGTCTGTAACCTCCTGTTTAGCCATAAATGAGATCTTCCTAATCAATTACTAACTACTCATTGGACCATTCTCGTATCAATATTCCTCGTAATATTTCTTGGGTTATTTACTTTGTTTTAACTTACGTCTCGCACTGGCTCCTTATTTATTAATAACAGCTCGGGCAGGAACCTTTGCTTCCTCTCCTTGATGTCGTGTTTGCACAATATTCTTGAATCGTAGCGTATTTGTAAGATTTGGATAAATGACATCTCATTCCTCTTTCATTTATCGCATTCTTCCTTTACCATTCCATAATCACTAGAACCACTTAATTCTGGCTTAATGCCATATTACTCAAAATTCCCCCCTTTAGGGGTGTACTAAAAGCTGAAGCCACGAGGATCTACCTATATATGTTTTACTTCTTCATCTTTGGCGTCGTTTCTCAACATCAATGATCCTTACTCGCCTTGCGGCAATTCTTCTGTACCAAGGATGACAAATTCCCTTACTCGTGAGGGTGACACTTAGCGTAACTGACACATGCAGTCTCTTAAGCTTAACTTTGCTCACATTGCTTGTTCTAGGAAAGCGTCTCCCCGAATTATTATTCTCTGAATTCATCGTGAATCCTCTTATGTGGTCCCTTCTATTACCGCCGGAACGAAATCTGAAATTCCCCATGATGTTGAGTACTTCCCAATCATTCAGTCCCTAATTCATATTTAGTTTATCCTGTTTACCAGTCCATACTGATTTCTGTTATTCTGGGGATTAACTCTCCGCTCTGGTAGTCGCATTGGAGTCACAAACTTATTTCTGGAAATGAGGATATAACCTTATGTCCTATACTCTTTCGTTGTCTTAAGGCCCATCACCTTTCGTCTTTTCCTTCATTTGATTATAGGTTCTGTAACACTCTACCATTTTCATCTATGTATCACACCTTATTCATAATGCTTCCTTATCTCTCTTCTCATTACTCTGCTAATATTTCTGAATATCTCTTTTCTTGTGAAAACTTCAATACGACATTCCTTCGCTTTTAGCTTCTCTTTGCTCTATCATATGGCTCTTTGGGTTGCTCAACATCCTCGCTCTACTAGGGATGAGATCCACACTTAAGGTAATATTTATCCCATCCAGGCTTTCAGTGTCTATCTTCTGAATGCTAGTATTCACATCTAATCGTAATATTCTCACCATCTGGGTGTCTCACAAGAAGATCTATTGGCACATTTGTAA